TGTATGATATAACTCATTCTATTATATCCTTTAAGACTACYGTGGTCCGGAGTCTTTATTTCTTTGTGATTTAAAGATTTARGATCAAGGTTCTTATTGGAAATCATAGTTTGRATGTTATTGAGGAGAAAATATCAGGTTTGGCCTGAAGCTTTATGTAAACCTTGTTTGACTTGAGAAGGTTTAAAAGTGGCATTATATGAAACCTGATTAGTACAAAGGTATGAGATTTGAATAGCTAAGTGTTTAGCTGGAAAAGATATTATGATCTGGTGTTATGTCTTTAATTGTTCATATATTTGTTATATAAATGAAAGGTTGTTTTCCATAAAAGTTTTTGGTGATTTACACCCTGCAATAACATTAATAGGGTATCTCACTAGACCTTTCGGTCTAACCCTTGTTGTGTGATTTTAACTATGTGTTGCAGGAGGTACAGATGGTAAGGGAAAGGGGAAGGTGTAATATTTTCCTATATGCATTTCTGCATGAAGATCTGTCTTTGCTGTATAGTTTTGGTTGATTAGTACAAGAAATGTATTTCGAAATTTTGGACCTTGTAATTGGTCATGTTAGATTCTTGTACTAAGGGATCCGAATGGAATGATATTATGTATTTCCTTTATATGAAATGTGTATTACATGCAATGTGTGGATTGGGGCGTTTACAACCCTGGGTATTACAGTGATGAACTCATGTTGAGTAGGGCACCGTGATCCTTGTTTTTGAGGCTTTGGGCAAGTAGAGTTGACACGAATTCATCGTGGGTATTTTGGGGATGAATCATGTGGATTCGAGCCCCAGGACCATTGGCTTGTAGTTGCATCTATATGGCGTTTAAGTAGGTGTTAAGGTTCGGGTATCGTGGAAATGAACCCGTATGGGGTCGGGCTCTGGGACATTAGGTATAGTGGTGGAAACTTGAAAGGGGTTAGACAACGGGATCGTGATCTTAAGGTTCGACTCGATAACGTTGAAAACATGGTTTACTTTGTGTTACGCCATTGTCGATGGAAACGGGTCTCCCCCGTCACCAAAAGGTATTGTTTTGGGTATAGAGTTTTATTCATTATTCTCGGTTATAATTTTAGGTTTATTGAGACTTAACCTTTGTTTTGTGTATTTTGGATAATAGAGTTTTATCCGAGTTTAGTATTTTAGTATTAAACCTTGTTCACGTTTTGTGTTGAGTTTTGGATGTTGAATTTATATTCGGTCGGGTATTTTGATTTAGAGCTTCCATCACAAAAATGGTGGGTTTTAGAAAGGATGTTGTTTTTTGTACGAAATGCATTTCATTTTTGAAATTGAGATCTAAATAACATCTTTCAGTTTTACCGTATTTATACTTGTGATAAAAACTATTTGAACTCACTAGACGTTATTAAGTCTAACTTTTTTTTGTCGGCATGTGCATCAGGTCCTCATTGGAGGAATGGTACTAGTGACATCGTGATGATAAAAGTGCTAGATAGTTGCACAAGAAGATTTTAGTTTATCATTGATGTCTTCTGTCTTTGGAGATAGCGACAGTTATTGGATTATAGTAACACCCGACCTTAATTTAGTCTTTATATAAGCATTTGTCTATCTTTTGTTGGTGATGATTTTAGATTCGATATTTGAGGCAAGTCAAGTATTGATTAATATAAAAGGGATCTACCTTTTATTTGTTGTATTAATGAAGATATTAAATTAATCGTTATTTCCAGATTTGAGGATGTTACAACCTAACTATCACACTTCTATGAGGGATTACTATCACAAAAATCATAGTTGAATTACCACATTGATTGGTTATCACATTATGATAACAATCACTATTTATGTATCATAATAAGATGAACTTACTTGTATCACAAGATTATCACAGTTAAATATCTATTAGGGCTCGATGATTGTCTATCAGACCATTGTTATCACAAATGTCACAATAGGATTATCACAAGTACTACACTAAGATTAAAAATTGATTGGTTATCACATCATTATCACGATTAACACACTTCGAATAGGTATCTATTGGTTGTGAGTCTCATTGTTATCACAAAATATGTATTTATTGATGTTTTTTATTAGTGAACAATCAAGTTATCAGATTCTAATCAATAATCATGGGATACTTACAATCGATTAAAACAACATTTTAAATTATTAAAAATAAACAATTAGGCTACTGCCCTTAATGATTTGTTTTTATTTATTATAATTAATAAAGTTGGAGGCTCACAACTCTCGCGTTTTCGCAAAACAGAGGGTTTTTGTTTGAACTCCCACATACACAAACACACACACACACACATATATATAGGATTGATTCCGATGAGAAGCGTAAGGGATCTCCACCATTAGATTCACAATAGGATGAGATGCATTGAGATGAGATATACTAGCACCAAAATGCACCGGATCAATCACCGTATCAGAAACGATTCATGTGTAGGTTTGATATTAGAGGTGATCAAGGGTCTAGAACCCTTCTTATGCTTCTTATCTTAACTTTGATTCTCATACGATCCTTCACGTATATTATATATATATATATATATATATATATAGGGTTGGTTCACGTGAGACCAAGGGTTTTTCGTAAGACCTGTAAGACCAATTTATATTCATTGATCAACTTTATAAGCTAATGATCTAATGGTCTAAAGTTGCACAGTGGTAATTTTGTGATTATTGAGAAGTCTCGTGGCATTTATGAATGTTCAGATTGTCAGATTGTAAATCTAATCTAAGGGTTGAGAATTGGTCTTACGTGTCTCACGAAAAACCCTTGGTCTCACATGATCCCAAGTCTATGTATATATATATATATAGGGGCTGGTTTAAATACTAACCAAAACTATTGTGCAAACTATGTTAACCCGATCTTGATCGTTCATTTTCTCATCAAACGGTCCTTATTAAATGAGACTATAAAAATAATCATTTAATTAATATATTAATTGAGATGTCTATGAACAACGGTTCACAGGGTACTTTTGTAAAAACATCGCATGAACACGATGAACATTTATACGAACACGGTGAATGTTCATGGACATTATATGGATATGAACACCATGAATACCGTGAACATCAGAATTACCTCATGATCAATTAGAGGGATCTTAAAAAGATTTGTAACTCCCAAATAATTACTAGGGAGTTACATAAATGTCAAATTACAAAATGACCCTTGTATTCAATTTATAAGTTACATTTGAACATAAAGTAAAGAAAGAATGTGATTGGTTGATGTTGGTTAGTAGAGTTAACACAAAAAAATGGGTTAGTATAATTATATAGAGGGTGGTTCAAATACTAACYCATTTTTTTGTGTTAACTCTACTAACCAACATCAACCAATCACATTCTTTATTTACTTTATGTTCAGATGTAACTTATAAATTGAATACAATGGTCATTTTGTAATTTGACCTTTATGTAACTCCCTAATAATTATTTGGGAGTTATAAATCTTTTAAGATCCCTCTAATTGATCATGAGGTAATTCCGATGTTCACGGTGTTCATGGTGTTCATATCCATGTAATGTTCATGAACATTCACCGTGTTCATATAAATGTTCACCATGTTCATGCGATGTTTTTACAAAAGTACCYTMTGAACCGTTGTTCATAGGCATCTCAATTAATATATTAATTAAATGATTATTTTTATAGTCTCATTTAATAAGGACCATTTGATGAGAAAAT